TCGCTCCTCCATCCTCCTCCTCCCCCTCCTCCTCCTCCTCCCCCTCCTCCCCTCCTCCTCCTCCTCCTCTCCCTCCTCCTCCTCCCTCCTCCTCCTCCTCCTCCTCCTCCTCCTCCTCCTCTCCTCCTCCTCCTCCTCCTCCTCCTCCTCCCCTCCGCCCGCCTCCTCCTCCTCCTCCTCCTCCTCCTCCTCTCCTCCTTCCTCCTCCTCCCCCCTCCTCCTCCTCCTCCCTCTCCTCCTCCTCCCTCCCTCCCCCTTCCTCCTCCTCCTCCCCCTCCTCCTCCTCCTCCTCCCTCCCCTTCCTCCTCTTTCTCTCCATCCTCCTCTCCTCCTCCTCCTCCTCCTCTCCCTCCTCCTCCTCCTCCTCCTCCTCCTCCTCCTCCTCCTCCCCTCCTCCCCTCCTCCTCCTCCTCCTCCTCCTCCTCCTCCTCCTCCTCCTCCTCCTCCTCAGACGTCGGGCTTCTCCCCTCATCGGGCCTCGGGACCGTCAAAAAACGCAGGACGAGGGGTGGAAAACTGGTCCCGGGGAAGTGGTCGTCGGCGGCGCGCGCAAGGGGGTGGCGGGAGGGGGGAAGGCTTCTTGGCAAGGAGGCGCGGGCCGCGGGCTTCACGTCTGCAAACGAGGCCCGCCGTTTCTAAGAAGCCGGGGTGCCTCCAAGAATACGGGGGCCACGTGCGATCCCTGCCCCTACCCACCCCGATTTCTGCTGGGGAGGGGGGGGCTCACGTCGTTCGGGAGCTCCCGAACGCAGTGCACACCACCCTCCCCCGCAGAAATCGTGGGGGGCAGGGGCAGGGTGGGGGCCCAAAAGAATATACACCACCACCACGTCGATTCCTCCTCTCTCCTCTGCCCCGCGAGAGGGAGGGGGGGAGGGAGGTGGTGGTGGTGTATATGTTTTGGCTCCCCACAGGGTTCGCGCGTGGCCCCCTGAAGAAGCGTGCCCCCCTCCCCCCGCCCCCCTCTGCGCGTGTGGCCGAGGTCGGGGGGGCGGGAGCCCGTGGCTCGAAGGCGCCGAGAGGCGTCGGATGCCCTTGGCGCGTGGGCAGCTCCCGGCAGCGCGCCTGGCGGGTATCTTCTCCGCGAAGCGGAAGTCCAGCTCCTCGGGGGGGGGGACAAGGAAAGGCGACACCAACACCAACAGGGCGAGGAGATGCGAGGAGGCCAGGGGGGTCTCCCTGGTGGTGTGGCCCCCCCCCCTCTCGCTCGAGACATCCCCAGCCTCCAGCTCGGGGAGGCCTCGTGGACCTCCTCGCTGGAGGTGGCCCCCTGTTGGTGTTGGTGTCGCTTCTCCTCCCTCCGATCGGGGGGGGGGGGGGACCCCGAGATCCGACGCAGCGGAACAACTGCACAATCGTCGAGAAGCTCACGCCCGGGGCCCCAGACCCCCCATCTTCCTGCGCCGTGTCCCGAGCGGGGTCGATCTCTGCGAGACCCCTGGGCCTCGAACGAGACAGCGAAGGCGCCGTGCTCTCAGGGCGGATGCGGGACGGGAAGATGACCACAGCCACTGCTTCTTGTTTGCGCCGCCTGCCAGCCGGCCGAAAAAGAAGCAGCGGTTGTGGTCATTTCCCTGGTGCCAAGCTCAACGGAAATGACCACAACCACTGCTCTGTTCCTGCGGGCTGGAAGGCGGCAACCAAAGGAAAGCAGTGGCTGTGGTCATTATCGCGCCCCGTGAAAAAGTTGAGACACAAGGTTTCATGGCGGGGGGGGGGAGGTCGCTGGACGAGGGGGCAGGCTGTTGGGCAGGAGGGCCCTGGGACACACGAATAAATAGACACAAACGACTCGTAGAGCTTCCCTATGAGCGTTAGCGGCGAAGCTAGAAGAGTAATTGCGGCGCGCTGGGGGGCTAGTTGGCAAAAAAAATCGACGAATGTTTTGTTTCTTGACCTATTTAAATTAAATTTCTCAAAAAATTGAAAATTCGTGTGAGCTCTAGTATGATCCCCCATATTCGATATTACTCCCGCTCGCCATCTTCTATCAGATCGTTCGGGTACCTACTACTGCCAAAAAGCATTCCGGCGGGATCGGCTCTTTCGTGTCATCTTAGCATGTGCTGTCGGCTTCTGTACTTAACCCGAGCTGTAGGAGAGCTACAGAGCTGGTAGGCACACCTAATCGATCCAGAATCGTCAGGTGCGTAAGTCTCAAGCATCTAGATGTCTGAACTCGGTCTGCCACCGGAGCTAGGTCCGCGAAACTATTCGTACTTTACTATTTTTTTGAGATGATGATGAATTTCTTGAGATACAGAGATGTTCGGCACAACAATCGGAAGGAAATCAAAAGTATCTAGACGCCTGAACTCGGTCTGCTATCAGAGCTGGGTCCGAAAAAACTATTCGTACGCTGTTAATGTTTTAGAGATGGTGATGGTTTTCCTGACTACACTGGAGCTGCAAATGAGCTACAGAACTGTTCGGCACAGCAATCGGAAGGAAATCATCAGGCGCGCTAGTCTAAAGTATCTGGACGCCTGAACTCGTTCTGCTATCAGAGCTGGGTTCGAAAAAATAATTCGCACTCTGCAAATTATTCAGAGATGGAGATGGTTTTCTTGACTTAACTCGAGCTGGAGATTAGCTACCGAGCTGTTTGTCGCATACGTCGAAAGGAAATGATTAGAAGCGTTAGTCTAAAGTGTGTAGACGCTTGAATTCGGTCTGCTACCAGAGCTGGGCCAGAACAACTATTCGTACTCTGCTAAACTTTAGAAAGATGATGGTCTTTCTTGATATTCCCCCTCCTTCTCCTCCTCCTCCTGCTCCTCCTCCTCCTGCTTCTCTTCCTCACCCTGCTCCATCTCCTTTCTACTCACTCCTTCTTCTCCTCCACGTCCTCCTCCATGAGA